ACCACCAGAGGTACATGCCAGGGGCAACATTCTAAATAAACCTGTCCAAGGTCATACAGGATATAATTTGTGGATCTAAAAATTTCACCTATTGATCTAAGTCCTGATGCACTTTGCAAATGGTGAAATGTGCAAATGTAACTTGTTCTAAGTTAAGGCAATGATTCTATCAATTCTCCTACTAGTTACTGAGCCTGATTATCTCACTGAACTCCCTAAGCTTCACTTTTCTTTCTGTAAAATAGTAATAATGAAGAGATAAGTCTTATTTCTTAGGACTGCTGATGGGATTAGAAGCATTATGTAGGTAAAGTCAGCAGAGCACTTGGCATAAAACAAGCACTCCACAAATGTATTATTAGCTATTACTAGTAATTTTATTTTCATAAAGATACCACAATATTGCTAAAATAAGATCCATCAACATTAAGATAATGAAAGTATATGAAATTAAGAATCTAAGTCTCCAAGTATGTGACAGAACAATTCTGGATAGAAAAGGCTACCATTTGGTTTAACACCATTTTCAAACATATACCTAAAGTATCTAGGTATACATGAAAATGATACAATCTGTGCCATCAAAAATATACAGGTAAGCAAATTAGTCCTGCTAAATGAGCACAAACAGCAAAATCTCTAACTTTGAACTTTTTCCAACCAAATGCACCTATACATTTTGCTAAATTATTGCTGATCCTTTTAGTTTCTAAAGTCAGAAAGAGAGGGGAGAGAAAAGTGCACAAGGATTTTGTCTACGAGCACAGAAAACTATGCTATACGTATCTTTGACTGGCTTTAGTAGTTATGCTACTTGAAAAGATTCTCAACTTTACAACTCTGCAATAGGAAGTAATATCCCATTTGTGCTTATTTTCATACATTATTTAACCTCATCACCTATGGAGGAATGGCTCTGCCATAATTACAAGCCGTAGCAAAAGCACAAAACTTTGTTACTCCACTCATAGCAATAAAGCAAACTGAGAACTTATCATCCATAAAGCAATATAACAGATATTTTCTTTAAAAACTTTTCAACAATAAAAGTAATCTGTCAACCAAAAACCTTAGCTCAGATATACAAAACGGGGCTTAAAAATTAAGGATGACTAACTTACACACTTTTTCAAGTTTTCCCCTTCTGGAATTAAAGAGGGGAAGGGAAGAACAGAGGCATCAACAACCACTACAAAAAATAGGTGGCTGTGTATTTTGGGTATATCTGCAGGTTCCAATAAACATTTGTCCACTGTCAGTTAGACCTCATCCAGTTCTTACTGTCACCACCCAAACTTAGAAGTTAAAATGCAAAGCTAAAACCATTACTCTTTTCTCCTTGTCTACCACACTTAGCAATGGAAGGCATCTTTAGAAAGTAAGTTGAATTCTATAGAAAAATTGTTAATTGATCAGGTAACAGCAAAAGGGGTTAAAATGTATAACCAGAGACAGGTATTTATATTACACAAACAATTTCTGAAGGCTCTTTATCTATTTCGTTATTCCTTACCAGAACAATAAAGTCACATAAATATTTATTCAAATAGCCTATGAATAGAAAAGCTTAAAGGTATGAATTTCTCAGCCCTCTTTTCCTCAAGAACATCAAGCCTGAGCCTCTGAAATGACAGTCAAAGTAAAAACAAGGATCAGAAAGAACTAGAGGAACTAATACTTTTTAACTATTTTTTGTTCGTTCTATTTTTCTAAACTGGCCTCCCTGTCTGCCATGATCCATTAATTTGGCTATTATAAAATGTTCCTAATCTCTCTAGGCCATTCTAATTTAGGCAAGTCCTAACAGTGCAATTCTTTCTACCTATTCAGATGAAATGTTTTGGTCCCTGGAAACCTCGTTTTCTCCTTCTAAAGTTCTGAAGCTTGTTCTGAAGCTCACGAAATATTAAAGAGGAGACATCTTGTGAATGTAAGTAGAGTAACTTCCAGCAACTGAGGTCCCCTCCTCCAACAGCAGGCTGTTTTTCTTTCTTCCCTATAGCATTTAACAAATAAAGCAGTGTGGAAAAGGATGACTTACACATGAGAGGGTGCAGGAAAGAACTATCCCAAGTTTTTTAGGAATCCTACTATCTTCTCACCAGTTATTGGTACTTAAGTCTGGAAAATCACTTTGGAATGTCTTGCGTGTAAGAATTACATAAAAGATAACAACTTGCAAAAGTCAAACATACAGGTTTAATAATGTGCAATAATAATGAAGATGGTTTATAAATGAAATACCACCTATGCATTTAGTCCCTAAATGTAATCTGTTTTTAAAGAGAAATCATTATTCTATTTCTTAAAAATAAAACTATTCAAGAATCTGCTCAAAATCACTAAGTTTAAATTTGATAATAAAACATTTTAAGTTTCAACCAATGCACCTTTGTTGAAGCACATTTAGCTGAAATAACTTTTGAGTCTGGTTTATTTCCATCACATATAGTACATTTTTTTTCCAACAAGAGCATGTACATTCAATATAGAACATTTCCAGCAACAATTACAGTCTTTCTAATTTCCTTTCACAGTATATTTTAGTGCAAAGCACTGAGAAGGGTAAATGATTTTCTAGCTATAGAAGCATTTTATTATAACCTTATGGATCTTCAACATTTTAAAATTTTATACAAAAAGTATATAGACAGGGTCCCTTCTAAGTACAGGTGTGAACCTATGTAAAAACATGGTATATTTTCTGCTGTACCTTTAAAATTATAATTTGATACCCATTACTAAAAAATAAAATATTCCCTAAAAAGTACAAAATACTGATACACAAAAACCTGCCCAAAATTTCATATAGACGTACTTTTGCTTTTTCCTAAAATCTTGATTACAAAAATGGACAAGAATTCATTATTGTCTATATTTTACAATAGGAATCAAATATATCTGAAGTGGTAATTTTAATTTTTTTCTTGGGAGAAAAAAAAATCAGGATTTATGCCCCATCTTCCTTTTTTAACAATATTTAAGGAAATTAGCTAGTATTATAAGAAGTGGTTGTGCATGGATTGTCTGCATCCATAAAATATCAGTAAGTAATTTACTGCTTTCACATTAACATTAGTAAATGTGTGGTTTTAAAAAAAGAAATTGAAAAATAAGGTTGCATCTATCATTAAAGTGCTTTATATAAAATTTAAAGTAGGGAAATGTTTTTCATAAAAACCTCAAATGTTTACAAACTAAAAATATGACTCATGTATGAAAATGAGCAGTAACTTTCCTGTATTATACATTTTAGAAAACTTTCAAAACATTTAAGTGCTAGAAAACAAGTTAGAATTAAATGGATGTAAAAATTGTTACAAATATTTAGTAGACTATTTATAATGTGTTGATACTAGTTTGTCTTTTGTTCCTAATATACACTCACTAGACAACTATGTATCTGTACAATCCAGGTGACAATTTTTCCAAATAAAGTGAGACAAAACTAAAATCACTAAAATATACTGTAATTTCTGCAAATTAAAAATAGGTATTTTCTTCAGGTTGTTGATTAATCAACAAATTATTTGTAATAATATTTGCAACATTTTTGTAGACCAAATATACAAGGTCAAGGTATAGCTGATTGTGATATTTAATGCCACAACTACTTGAAAGTGCTGGGAAATAGATACTGCTTTAGAATCAAGTAGTTAGATGGTTATCATTTTAGTCAGAAAACAGCAGTTACAGTTGAAAGTTTATGAAAATGTTTTTCTTTTCCTCATAGTATCATGTGAAGATGCTTAGTGGTTCTAACCAATTTAGTCTTTCCACAAAAATGAACTCCAAATCTTTTCATATATCACTTGAAGTTATCTGAGGAGAAATGGGAATAAACAAATACTTTTTGAGTTTACCATTAAAACTTGGTCTCAAAATTATAAGTAAGTAACTTTAAAGGTTGGTCATCCTAAACTTTTCACACAAAGTAAAATGTGTGATAATCAAACCACAATAATAAACTATTCAGCACTCAAAACTAAGTATTTTGCTTTATAACCTGAATCTTAGACTGAATTATCATTGAATATGTTAAAGGCCTTACAAGGGAAATACGTGCTAAAGGCAAAACTTAAAAATAGACTTTGAAAAACAAATACAGGGAGCCTATTCCTTATTTTACAATGCATTTTTAAAATCTACATTTGTTCCAAAATCTTTAAAAAATAAGATTTTTCTTTCAAATACGGATTTTACATTTCTCGCAATGCACAACCAACCAACAAAAAAATCTCTACTTAATAGTAACTAGGTTGAAGTGATCACCAAAATGGCTTATTAAACAGAAAGGGAAAAATAAGGGTATCTAGACCTAAATAATCATTTTTTTTTCAATAAATCAAAACTAAAAAGAAGTCACTGACACACACTCCTAAGGAGAAGGAAAAAATCCAACTTTCATTTACCAACTCTCCCCCTTTGCCTGGAAGCACTGTTAGAAGTTAGCGCTAATCATTCTAAATTCAATTTGGGGATTTTTTTTTTCTGAGTACAGCAGTTTATTCAGCCATCACAGATTAATTTTTATAGTATTTACAGTGCCTCAAATTTTTTTCCTATAATTATTGCCTTTTCAACTGCCTCCTAATATATTTAACTCTCCTGCAATGTATGAATTAGTAGACTAAGTCACTGAATCAAATTAAACCTGTGCAAAGTTAAACAGAAGATTTCTATTGTAAACATAAGCCAAAATAAATGCATGTATTTTTACAACATCAAAAAGAAAGCACTGGCCCTATATCATCTACCTATAACTACATTGCATTGTCCTGTAGAAGGTAAATTCTGAAGTTAACTTTTGTTCCCAAGCCACTGGAATAAAGGTCACTGAAGAGGTAAATGTAATACACACATTACTCTTGCAGTTTCCACTGCCATAAGATATATGGAAGCAAATACGTGTTAAAATGGAACCAGCTATAAATTATGGTCAAATGATTTTTTTAGTTCGATGGGGAGAAAAAAGCAAAACTCTGTTAACTGTTCCTCACCAGACAAGAGCCTTAGATCTTGTACTTCGGCCTTTGGTTTTGTTTCCTTCAGGTGAATTGGAAGCATTTGCCTTATGAGTTTTCTTATGATGTTCAAGATAGGTCTTTTTAGCAAATGCTTTTCCACATTTATTGCATCTGTGAAGAGAAAAGTTTTTTGTGACTTTCACTTCAATACCGACGTCAGCTACCTCATACTTTTTACCAGGAGAATTGGAAGTGCCATCATGTTTTGAATCATTATGTTTTGCTTCGTCCCTTGAAGGGCCTCTTTTAGCCACTTTATTTAGAACAAAATCAATAGGCTTTTTTATAGCTCTGATCTCTAAACTGGCTGTTATTTTCCCAAGATAGCGAGATGACTTTTTATGAACCACAGTTATATGTCGTATCACATCACGTTTTCGACGAGTTTCATAAGTGCAAAGAGGACACTTGTAGAATTTAACATAAATGTTATTTCCATCCGTGTGCAACTCAATGTGTTTAGTCAAGTTCTGTTTGGAAGTAAACTGACGTTTACAAAGTTTACAGTAAAGTTGCTTAAAGTCAAAGCCGGCTGAAAGTTTTGGTTTCCTTGTTTTTTGCTGGCCACCTGCAGCCGACGGACTAGTTGATTTAGGGCTTTCAGAGTCTTGTTTAAGTTTATTTTTCTGTGCTGCCGGTGTGTTCTTTTTTTCATTTGAATGATTTGTTCCCTTTAATTCATTCTGTGGAGAATGGGTAATGGAAGGGGGTGAAGATTCTACAGAATCTGCTGGTTCAACTTTAACTTTTATTTCTGAACTGCTGGCAGTATTATTAGGGCCTTTCTCTCTTTTAGAGTTTGTTCCAGAAAGAGTTATCTTGTGAACAATTTGCATATGTCTCTTAAGCATTATTTGTGAACTATATTTCCTCTTGCAAAGGAGGCATTTGCATGCAGTTAAATTGTATTCAGCCTTTGAAGACGACTTTTGTTTTCGAGTCTTAAAAGATTTTTTAGGAGAAACAGAATCCAAGAACAAAGGTTGCCCGGGCTTTGTTGCTATATCTGGAGTAATTGAATCCCTCCTTAGTCCTCTATGAACTTCATCAAAATGCCTCCTTACATTCGCTTTTGTAGCAAATGATTTACAACATACTGGACAACTCCTACTTAATGAAACTAGAATACTCTTATTGCGTCCTTTAGAGGACTGATTTGGATTCTTTCGTGTCTCAATGTACTTTTTTAGTTCTTCCATCTTTTTCTTGTGTACTTTTCGAATGTGACGACGAACACCTCGTCTAGAATTGAATTCTTTTCTGCACAGACAACATATCAACTGGTGACCAAAATCAGAATTGTCAGAAGTTTCTGGGTCAGGCTGTGATTCCTGAGGTTGTTCATCAGATGCTGGTGCAACTTCATCAGCAACAATCTCAACAGGAGGAGGTTCTTCGGTTTCCACCTCTGCATCTGTAACTGTTACTGTTTTAGACTGTTCAGTGCTAGTTTCCTGTATCTGAACTTCAGTTTGCTCAGGAGTACCACTTGACTCTGCAACTTCAGTAGGATTATCAGTCCTTGAAATGTATTGAAATACTGCATTTTGATTCGTTTCTATGGGTTCTAACTTAATAATATATTCTCTTTTATCCACATTTGGATATATGGCTTCTAGGAGATCACTTATGGCTTGGCTTTGTTTATCATTTACGTCAGGAAGGTCTGTTAAGGAAAAAACAACATTTTAATCTGAAATAACTGGCCTGTTCTTTCCCTCTAATATTTTTAAACATGTTATATAAAAACTAGTATTAGCTAAACTAAAATTTGCTAAACAATAACTACCGAGAAATAAGCTAACTTTCTACTAATATTTTAATTAAAAGGCTGAACCTAAAATTAATTTTCTATGCACTATAATTTATAACTCAATGATAAAAAGAAATAAAGTAATATCAAACAGTGTAGAAAAAGTTTATGGACAAATATGAAATATTCAGCTCTCTACACCCTATAATACACTTTAAGTCAGTTTCATAATAATAAGTAAAGCAGCATTTTGATATAGGGAGTTTGCATTTTATCCCCATGCCAAAAAGTTTGTGTTGAAAAAATGCATAAGGTCCCTAACAAGTGTATGGTATCAGAATGCCAAAAAAGTTCTACATTTTGTAAGCCCCCAGAGTTAAATCCATCCCTAAATAAAAAGTAACCTATTATTAAAGCATTTTAAAAGAATTTAGTTAGTTAGTTAAAGCAGGAAAACAATACCATCATACATATTGCTACTTAACACAAGTACAATACACTTAACAAACATTTGGATCCACAAAGACTTTTACTCTGCTACATGCCTTCATCACAAACAGCTATTCCTGACCTCAAATTAATGTGTGATGAAACTGACCTTTAATAATAAATTTTTCTGAGAACAAAACTGATACTCAAATCAAGATCCAGAAAACATTAGAAAGTGTAATAAAAAAATTTTAATGTTCTCTACATTCCCAAAACATCAACTAATTTACTCACTCTGCTCTTTACTTCCAACATTCTCATCCACTTAATGGGAATCTAAGTAAGTGACCAATCATATCTAGTTACATTAAAGATGTAAAAAGGAAAACTACCAGAAACTGGTCTTTTCAAAATATCATTAATATTCTAAATTACAAATATCCTGATTATAAACTATATGACCCATAAAAATGTTCAAAAATAATATCCAATATTTTAATACAAATAAATAATATTCATATATCTAACCTTTTAAATATGTATAGAACTCCAAGAGGAAAGCACTGATATAAAAGTACCTATCTTAAAAACTGAATATAACACTGAGTATTTACTTCTATTCTCCATCACTGTTATCCATAACTAGGTACCAATACCATTTTAATGCCAATATACAATGCAGCAGCGTAAGAGAACTGTAAAATGAGTAACTGAATATACAAATTAAGCTTACTGTCATCCATCTGAAGACTTGGTGGGCAATAGAATTTCTTGTGGGTAATTAAATTAGGTAATCCTCTGAAGAGACTGCGGCATAATTTACATTCAAAAATTGTGTCCACATCTTTCAATAAAATATGCTTAAGTTGTCTGGTTCCTGGGATGAAAACAAAAGGAAAATTCAACACAAAATTTAACTTTAAACTAGGTAACCAATGATAACAATCTAAAAATATAGTTACTGTTTAAAAACAAAGGCATCGCCAACTGCTACCACAGTATATTTAGAATTAGATTACAAACTAAGTTCTAAGCAAAATCCTACCATAAACTGAAAATCTAGATAGCTAAAACCAATTCCCTTTTCCTACTTCAGTAACCAATCAATTCTTGGAATATCTCAATGCAGTAGTTCTGACATTTGATCATTACAATAATTTGCGAATAAAGATGTATGCAACCCTTCCCTAGAAATTATGACGCAATTAGTCTGGCTGAGCAGGAAAATGTTCTCATATCACTTCCTGCCAAACTGTTTGGCTGCTCTTACCCACCCTTTTCTAAACCAGAAAGTGAACAAGTAGTTTTCCAATACAGTTTCCTAGTGCAACTTCCCAATTCACAAGATTGCCTGTGACTTTCTTTTAAAATTCACTTTATGTTATTTCAGGTTCTAGGCGAACATGCTATTATATCTATTTAGTATGAAAGAGAATCTTTGTCTGTATTAAGAGATAATTCTGAATTTTGGCCTCTTGATAGCACTATAAATTTATTAAAAGCCTTTCTTCCCCTGAATTCTTACTCCAATTCCAACTAAGTATTTGTTTATCAGTAGTTCAATGTCTGTCTTCTCTACTAAAGCAGCCAAGACCAACCCTATCTTATTTATAAATATAAGTGTTTAGCTCTAATAATAGTCAATAAGAATTTGTTGAAGAAATATTAATGATCCAGAGAATCTAAGCATTACATTATGGCACAAGATCAAAAGGCAAAGAAACAATAAATGGCAAGAAGTATCAAATCATCAAAATAAAAATATCCAAGAATAAAACATATCTGTTGCTGCTTTATAGATATTTGCCAAAGGGAAGCTAACAAAATTGATCTTCAGAATTTTACTATGTCTTTATTCAAATTTTAAAAAATGGTAACAACACTGACTTAAATTTTTTGTCACTAAATATTGACGAAGTACTCTGAAAATATCCTTAAAACCATCCAGGCACAAAGTGTTCTGTCATTCAATCTATTTATTAAGCTCTGGCACTACAAAAGAGTATAAACTACCCTAAGCAGAATTAATATTTTGGGGCCTATAAAAGTTAAATGTTTCTGAGTCAATATTTTGTAACATATTTACATTTAACTTTTGAAGTATATTTTATCATCATTTCAAAGATAAATCAGTCCTCAAAATTCTATTAGAAAAAAACAATTACCAGGCTATCAGAATATTATAGTCTTTAGACATTGCAAATCTGGTATTATTTGGTTTTACGAACTTAAAAGAGCTACATAAACTCTGGTTTACCACCTATAACTGAACTATCTCACAGAATTATGAAAGAAAAATTAAATTATGCAACTGAGTTTCCACTAGAAAAGATATATATGAAGTAATTTCTACCACTGCCTAAATCCAAATGTTTATTTCACTAGATCCTACTGCCGGTTTTACTCTGAAAACATAAATTTTTTCTTTGAAAACATAAATTTAAAGTAATTTAGAGAATACCTTGAGTGATATTCTTTACACAAAAGTAAATTCTTATATCTTCCTCTAATCCATTTTACATTATAAGGTATCTAAACAATATACAGCTAATGTATTTACTTCACAGTTAACCTCATAAATGATTAACAAACTATAAGTAGACTGGGGATAAAAATATTTTAGTTAAGCCTCTCTAATTGATCCTACATGTTTTTAAGAAGTATAGTTGAGTAGCTTACTAGTGGGAAGGAAAAAAAAAAAGAAAATTTTTGCATGTTGTTTCTAAGTTTAAATAATTGGTAAATCTATCCAAGAGGTTCAAGTCTGTCTTAAAAGACAGTTTTAAAAAGATTAAAGAAAATACAGAAATCTGTTTAACTTACAAATTCAACTCAGGAGCTGGGGATATAGCTTAGCAGTACAGTGCCTGTCTGGCAAGCAAAAGGGTCCTGAGTTTGATTCTTGGTACAAAAAACATTCAACTAAGAGGGGTATGCTGTCACACACCTGCAAGCCCCACTACTAAGGAAGCTGAGGCAGGAGGATTACAAGTTCAAGGTTAACAAGAGCAACTTAGTCAGACTCTATCTCAAAATAAGGCAAACTTTTAAAAGGACTGGGGAGGTAGTTCAGTAGTAGAATGCTTGCCTAGCATGTATAAATCCTTGGGTTCAATCCCCAGTACTAGAAAAAAATCCAATTGAAGATTTAAATGGAAAGTACACAGTAGCAGATTTAAAGCATAAAAAAAATCAGCCTGTAAACATTTATACATAAAAAAGATAGGTGTAAAAACGCTAAGACAATATCCCCAAATGAAACATACATATTTTGTCCATCAGCTTCTCTCAATTATAATATTATAAATTTCTTAATTGCTCCTAGTTAATCAGTTATATTTGGTACAGGATGTATATTTATTACAAATAAATGTTTTTAAAAAGTTATCTGCCTCTAAGTTGACTAATCGATCTTAGTTATCAATCACAAATACTAGCCTACCACACACAGAGTTATTGACCCAAATATACCAAATTTCTTTAAGTTGACAGATATATCAAATGTCCTCTCTCTCCTCACACTTTACATTCCTACACCTATTGCTTTTCTCTTACTATAACATTTTCCTGCTTCATCATCAGTCTGGCTCACTGCTAGAAAGGTTCAGATGCCAGGTTAGATGTTATTCTTCCAGGAAGCCTTTTCTGACCCCTTCCTATTTGTTGTTATGAACTCTTCAGCTATATTCCCACTGTACCCTACATATCCATACCAGTTTCCCACAATCTTGTAATCAATTATTTCTATGAACCCATTCAACAAGATGATCTAGGAGAACACAAAAGATATCTTTGTTGCTCACCATTGTATTTCTAATCCTTAGGAAAATGCCTGATTGATACTTGTAGAATGACCTACTGGAGAGCTCTCAACCTTCAAAAATACATTGTTTTTTTTTAATCTAGTCATAATTGACTGGGGACTCTAAAAAAGGGGATTAAATGTTTTCTAATTCTTAAACATTTCACAAATAAGAAATATGTGTCCCATTTCATAACTACAGACATTAAAAGTTTTTCCTTAGATTAATTTACATTATCATTTCAGACGTTATGCTTTTCCCATGGGGACATAGTGGCTTTGTTCAAAATCAGCTACCATTTTCTGATTGCTTTGCTCACCTACAAATACTTAAGATACAGTCAACCATGCCTCTGTCAATAGTTAAAACTGCTAGTCACCTAAGACAACATACATAGTCATCTAACAGCAGAAACAGTGAACCATGTTGTTTTCCACCAAAGTATTCCTTTTCATACATTTCTCTCTTTCTTTCCTTAGTGTTTTATTTTTGCTTTTGTCTTTGGTTTTTAACTTATCTTCACAGTCACTAATTACTGCTTACTGATAGATCATCAATTAGGATCTTTAAAACAAAAAGGTAAGGCTTTCACTGATGTACTACTACCACATATAATAATAAATTTAAAAGTAGAGTAAAATTACTTTAGGGCCATACCTACTTATGAATCTTTTTGTTTAATCTAACAAATAAATCTAACAAACGATTGAGTACCTATTAAATATCAGATACAATGTTACTCATTGAAAATATTAAAGTTTAAGAATGTATGGTCTGTGCCTCTTAGAAATTCATGAACTAATATAAATAGCTGCTCCCCTAGAACACAGGCCTAGAGAATATGCTCTGAAGATAAACATATGAACAATAAATTATATAACTCTACATTTTCCCTATTTAACCAAAAAAATTTAATTCTATTTTACATTTCCCACAATTTCTATGTAACAACCCAAAACAAAATTCCCCTTGTAGAATACGACCCTCTCCTGTGTATCTTTAAGTCACACTTCCCTCATAAGCTTCTATCTAAAGTCAAGATTGAAGCATTACCATTCAGTCATAGCTCACACTAAAGTTGCTTCCACCAGAAAATAAGTAAACAAATAAAAACACTTAAAAGAAAATAAATGACCAAAACTAGGAAGATAATTACAACAGCAAACATCACACTAAACTTAAATCTTACTTTTTACTACTATTCTATAAAGTTATAACTTACTTCTATGAGTCAAAAACAGTGAAATTACTTATACATAGTTGTCTAGTACATTTACATACAAATTTTTTCTACAGTGTTATGTATTACTTGTTTTTACAACATTATACATTTTAAAAATTTTTTGAAATATCAACTTCCTTCATACAAAGACCAGTTTTAAATGCTTGGAAAAAGCATTTATTCTTCTTCATGTTCCAATTTTTCTGTTTCTAATCTTAAAGTATTCCATGGCCCCTTTGCCCCTACCAAACAATTATGAGATTAAGAAAGAATATTAAACTCAAATTCAGTAAGTAGCTAAAATATACTTAATTAATTTCTAAGGTAGTACACCTTTTATCTATTTAAAGTTTTGTTTTGGTTGGAAGAGGGATGTCACAGAAAAACAAAAATAAAACAGAAGTGCTAAATACAAAAAAAATGTGAAGACATCAAATCACAGATGTGATTCTAGATGTACTAACAGCCAACCAAAACACACAACTAAGGTAGAACCACAAACCGGAAATTGAGAGTAAAGAGTAGGTTTCAAATCAGCCATCAAGCATTTTAGATTAGAAAATGTATACATACAAAACAGGAAGCCTTCCATATATATATATTTGGAATTGATGTACAAAAATAATCAAATCTACTGTCAATGAAACAGGTACACAAGAGTAAGCTGTCACCTACCATTTGTATTGGGAAGAAAATGAGGAATATATTTGTACAAGTATAAAAAGGTCCTGAAGAAGACATATAAATCACACAGGAACAGCTACCTGAGCAAAAAGAACTGGAGCACAGAAGGGACTTACTTTTTTGTCCTATATCCTTTCGTACTTCATTATTTTTTAACCCAAAGGCACATTACTTATTCCAAAAGAAAAATCTATTTAAATTCAGGTACAAATCAAGCAACCAGAAAGGAGTTCTCAGAAGTAAAGAATCAGCAATGTAAAGCCAGAAAAACAGTTCAAAGCAAAAGCTAAGGTATAAGGCAAAGAGAATAGGTTAAAACTGCTCAGGTAGTCAATAACACACATGGAACTGGTAGACCTTAAAAATGAGTCAACTCTCTGGGCCTGATGGCACACGCTTATAGTTCTAGGACTCTAGGAGGCTGAGGCAGGAGGATCACAAGTTCAAGCCCAGCCTAAGAAACTTAGCAACTTAGGTAGATCCTGGCTCAAAATTTAAAATAAAAAGGTAGGAGGGAGGTAGAGATGTAGTTCAAAGCCAAGGCCCTAAATTAAGTTCCCACTATCACACACATACAAAACAAGTTTTAAAATTTTTTTTTTAAAACTTCCTCACACAGAAATCTTTTACAAACTTCCAGTTCATGGGCAGCTCCATATAGGTGGAAGAAGGTAAGACACTAAAACAGAGATGATACAGGAACTGAAGACAACTATCTGAGCTAGAAAATAAAAACAGATACTCTAACATAGTACTATATCCAGCACCACCACAATCGTTCTTTAAATACAATGTGTATGACCTACTTGTAAAGGCAAGAGCCTAGAAAAAGATGACTCGTGTGAGTGTGTGCTCAGGAGTAGAATGGGATAGGCAAGAACTATTAGTCTCCCAGTGATATCTTAGTCCCTAAGTCATGTGACCCCACACTTCCATTCCATCCTCTGAAGGTTTTAGTAGACCTTGACTTAAATACTTTAGTACTAAAGAGCTACAGGACCAGTATCTTGAGGACATAAAGCAAATTTCTTTTTTATTAACATAATAATGAAATAAAATAATTCTTTTTTAAATGGAAAATTACTTTCACAGTACCATACAGCATATATCCAAATCATCTCTTAATTATTTGATACTTAAGAGAATTTTAGTATTTTAAGAATTTGCCTCAAAGAGCTGGGGACATTTCAAAAAGAACACACTTCAGAAGTTAAACATAAATGGCTCTGGAATTACACCATTTCAAAATTACCCATTTCAGTCTCTGTTCTTTAGCGTACATTATAGAAATGGCAAATTCAAAAAACAGATACAACCACAATGCAATAAAAAAAATTTCATCATTAAATATTTACAAGGACAAAATCTGTGTCTTCCAAAATTAAAGAAATATAAATTTTAATCACATAATACTCTGTTGAAAAGCTATTTTTACAAGATAAATTTACGAATTAACCAACTTTAAATTCTTAATCAAATAACTTCATTATATGCCAAATTATGAACTTTAAAAAAGAAATGTATATACAAATAGTACTACTAAATGAAAAAAGGTATTACTGTCATTTTGATAAAGAACAAAAAGAACTTTTATTCCCATTTGTAAGTACTTACACAGAAAATATCAGAAAAAAATACGGTCACTAAGTAAAATTTTATTTTAATTGTATTTACCATAGGAAAATTGGACCTATGAATTGTTTGTTTTAACCAAGAACAATTATCAACAGTAACAAGCAGATACAAAAAATGCTCTAAAGTGGGACATAAGATCATTTAACATGAGAAGCACATGATATACATGAATACTTACTAAATTAAATATAGTATACATAAAGTGAATGTCACAGAGACAACAAAAGAGTTGTCTGAGAAAATAAAGGTCTCTGAGTCAACCAAAAAAAAATTTTTATAAAATAGGTAAGGAGATAACCTATTAGAATCCTAAATTAAACAAATATGTTTTCCTCCTTTACAATAATGTGAAAATAATTACCTCAAAAACTTTACCAACACAAAAGTTACACATAAATTATCTTTTCCTCTCAAATGCGAAATTTTCATTAAGATAGTATACTTTAAAATAATAACAATATTCTAATTCTTTAAGCATCTATTAGTTAGGTATCCTTCAGTTATAGTATTTTCTTTTTCACATTTGACTGAATAGTCTACAATGTTAGAGAAGCCTAATTCTTAACAGACAGAAAAGAGGATCATAGGAGTCACAGCAATCTAGAACCTTACTGGTATCACAAGAGTTCCAACCGTTCTCAGTCATTTATATATAGTGAATAATGCCTAAAGTATTAATTTGCAACTGAATGTATTTATCAATTATTAAGTTAGTGGAAATAAAAGCTAAACAAATGTATCTGTGGCTATCGGGGTTCGCCTGTGTCTTTTTTCTATCCGTTGCTCTATGAAATTTATTGAAGTTTAGAAAAAAGTTAGCTACCTAAACAACGATGATAAAGTAATTGATATAAAGTGATATCTCAGACCTTCTGAGAAAATAATCTACTATGTCGAAATATTTAAAGACCAAGAATAATTTACTAGCTTGTATAAGTTTATACAGAACACAACAAAAGGTAACAATGGATCTTTAAGAAGCAGCACTTTACCAGCAAATTTACTAAACAAATTCATTTTAAAATGTATAGTATACAGTAATGAAAAAGAACTTCCAGAGCAAATCAGTATGTATCTACTTTCTAATATTAGGACAATTAAAAATATTCTATAAAGAAAATCAATGTACACATTTTTTTAAATTACATCTAAGGACTTCTAGACTATTTTTAAATATTGTGTAAAGATTGAAAAAATACATCCTAAAACATTCATACCTGATCGAAAGCACTCAATTATTTGCTGAATACCAGATTTGGATGTCTGTAGTGGTTGCTGTAACAAAGGAGGATCTCCAGGTTCCAGGATATAAACTACATGGAAGACAAATACCCACCCCAAACCCCACAAAAAGGGTTATTTAAATCATTTACTACTGAAGTAAAACAATGGTTTACTAAAATGTTAATAACAATCACATTTACATATATTTATATGTGTAATTCACCATCTTTCACAGGTAAGACAAAACCTCAGAGGAAGAAACTAAAATAATTATAAATTAAAGGCTATACTTAAGGATAAGTATTAGTTTTAAGTGCAAACTTCATTTTGGTATCATTTAGTACACACATTTTATGTTTGCCTTTTTATTCCTCTTAAAGAGGAACCATTCACTATATTTAATAATAAATGCTAAAGCACATAGCCTAGCCACACCCAATAAACCATTTTAAAATGGATAATCTAGAGCAGCTCTCTGGACAATTAGGCAAGCAAAACTCTAAACCTACTGCCTCAGCAAGTAGCTGGACAAGTGCACAATGATAGCTATACAAAAATTTTCACAGTAGCACTCTCCAGCAGTGTGTATAAATAAAAGGCATTTCAAACAACTTCAAAGTCTCTTGATGGGGAACAGATTAAAACTATGAAATATCCACAGAGCAGAATCTCTCACAATTCTCAGAATACATAAGCTAGATCTACAGGTACTAACAACAAAAGATATTGGTAACTGTTGAGCTACAAAAACAGGCCATCGACTACAGTCACATTTACATTAATACATATTTAGATAGATACAGAAATACATAACTGTAATGTTATTTTGGTGTATAAATATACCTAACATAAACAGAAAAGCAGTCTTGGAGGGATATCAACAAAATTTAGCAAAAGTTCTGTCAGCTGGTTACAAAGATGATGTTCACTTTCTACCTGACTATTACACCAGAACTTGAGCTTTTTGAAGTGTAAGTTTTAGCAGGAAATAAAACATGTTTTTATAAGTAAAAATTTTTGCATTTTTAAAAATAGTTTATGTACAGGGTCTGTATCATCCTCACTTTCCATAATTCTCAGATCAATTGTATAAGTATGTAATTAGATTAATGTGAATGAGATAATGTTAACATGAAACAAAGTAGCTGAAAATAAAACTGACCTTTTTCATCAGTTATCAAATAAAGAGAGTGGTTGTGGCTTTGAGAAATGGCCGTTTTAATTATATCTTTTTTCAACATGCTATAATATTCTACCCAACTATTACCATCACAGCCCAGGACCATCTACTTGGTGTGAGGAGATAAGGATTACTTCAATAATGTGTTCTACTATTGCTTCAGGGCTTGGATAATAATTAGTTTTGTGATAAAGGGGCTGTTGCCTTCTGTGCATGCATATAAATTCAGCCTTAGAATCCCTTTTCTCCTTATGCTTTAAGTACTCAATATATACAAAGAAGAGGAACTGTATCTCAGGATCATATTTTATAAGCTAAATTTTTCCAGTTTTAACAAACACTTTAGGAGTATTCCAAATGAATCTAAACATACACAGAACTCATTTGGAGAACATCTAGTACTAGCAATAAATCCAGATCTGGACTGCCTTCATTTATATTCTTACCTTGCTTTTACCAGATATAGGACAAATTAAATCTTTTTTTCCTCTTCTCTAACACAGTAATAAAAGTACCTAAATCAAAGGTTGTATCAAGATTAAATGAGCTAATTCAAGAAAATAATTATATCCCAGAGTCTGGGATACAGCAAGTGCTCAATAAACTACTGTTATCATCAGCATCACCACCTTGTACAGATTAGCAACTTTTCTGACACCAAAACCTAAAAAATCTTTCTATAAATCTAAATTCAACCTTTCAAAGGAACAATAAAAGATTATAAACTGATTGATAAAACTAACTGAATGAGATGAATGATCTGAATTAAGTGGATCATTTCTCACTATTTATACATTATAGCAATTAATAACTGTTTAGAAAAATAATCACAAAAGAGTAAAAATCCACACAACTGTAAAGAACTAAACACTGCAAGGTCTGTCTGTACAAGTAGCAAGAATTCTAGAACTAGAGAAAAACAAACTCCAAAGGAATGAACAAGGGAGGGATACTAGGGAAAACAGATCACCTTAGAACCCTATCATCCCATTTATGTACAGTATGTTTTAGAAAACTCTTCGTAACATATCAACTTCCACTTTCACATGAAAATGCCTGACTTAAAAGCTAGAACAGTTTCTTAGCCATTGTTCTGAGAACATCCACCAGAATATATTCACATCTTGAGGCACTTATAAAACCATTTTCACATTCAAAAACAAGCCCAGGGCTAACTTTGCTCTACCTGGAAACATCCACTTGATGATGTACCACATCTATGTAGCTCCAATATTAAAAAAAAGAAGAAGAAAAAACTTTTTCATTTGAACACACAGATGCCAGTTCTAGAAACATTTCTAAACTAGTATTTCATAAAATTTCTTCTTACACAGCCTATCATCCGAACCCAAAATCAGACTCCATGTCACAACCATGAAAAAAAATTATTTTCCTCCAACAAATTACCAAACCCTCCAAACAGCTTTCCTTCCATCCTTACACAGAGCACAGTTCCAAGAATAATGTTCACTTTACAACAGTCTCGCCTGTTTTAAAGCAAGTTCTTTAAAGATATTCTAATTATTTACTTACAAACAATGTGGATAAGTAGTTATAAGGTAGAGAAACGAATTATGGGAGAAGGGGAGAATATAAATGAAAAAAAGACTGTCCATGTACTGATAACTAACAGAGTTGTGTGGTGGCTACATCCAACTCTTTGTAGGACTCTATTTTGAAAACTTCCATTTAAGAAAACTCAAAACACAAATAAAAAAATACTTTACATACATCAATAAGTTTCCAAAAATTCACTATAAATTGACCGATCCCATTAAGAAATATGGTCACCTCAGGAATAATGCTTTTCAAATGAGAACTCACTTGTGTTTAATTATCCAAATCAGAACAGACCACTTAGGACAATCCATTAAAGAATTTCTCGGGGCTGGGGATTTAGCTCAGTGGCATAAGAGCCTGGCAAGCGCAAGATCGTGAGTTCAATCCCCGGTACCACAAAAAAAAAAAAAAAAAAGAATTTCTCAAGCCAAGTGTGGTGATACACATCTACATACTTCCAGAAGTAAAGGCTGGAAGTTTTCAAATTTAAGCCCAGCCTAGAGAATTTAATCAAAACCCTATCTTAAACTAAAAAATAAGATGGGAGGGTTGTAGCTCACTGCAAAGGTCCTGAGTTCAATCTTCAGTACTGCCAAAGGGAAAACCAAATCTCAAACATCATGCTATATTCCTGCCCCCATCTGAGTATCATAAACTTCAGGCCATATTTCTTTCAGTCCTGGAAACATTCTCCCACTTAGTATGTACCTTTCCCTGAAACAGTGATGGTGAACTAAGTACCCTACAAATTAACTAACTTCAAGCTTTCCAATGAACTAAATCCTTAGACAGCTTTTAATTCTAAGATTAAGGGGCTGGGGATTTAGCTCAGTGGCATAAGTGCCTGCCTTGCAAGCAGGCAGTCGTGAGTTCGATCCCCTGTACCGATAAAAAAAAAAAATCAATTCTAAGATTAAAAAATAAACACTAATTATGTTTAACCTGGTAAATCTAAAAATATAAAACTACACAGAAATAGTTTCTGGCAAAAGAACGGTGAAAAATTTAATACAATTTTTCTCATTTTTTGTTAAAAAAGAAAAAAAAAAACCTAGAGTTCCAATACATAATTAGCAAGTTTCAGAAAACTTCTTTAAAAACACATTAAAAACCTCTACAACTTTATCAGAATATAACTAAGCAAGGCTTGTTCACAAATTCTTTACTTATTTCTCTTCCAGTTCAAAAGTTTGACAAGGGAAGGACCTTATCTGTGTTGTTCACCGTTTACATGTCCATTTTTAGTTTTGCTTTGACTGCACCTGGTACTTATTAGGTGTTCAATAATTAAAGAAATGAACAAGCAAATCATCTTCTTCTTAAATAATTTCATAAATTCAACTTAAATGATTTGAAGTAGTCTCAAAAATGAAAAACTAGAACAGTTAGTAGAACACAAATTTTAAAAAAGCATTCACATCTGTAAAGTTCAAAATTAGCAAACTTCACTCAGTTCTAAAACGTTAAGTAATATATCTTCACTTCAAATACAGAAAATTTGCAGTGTGAAAGGGTACTGAAAGACAAGTCAAGAGACAACTGATTAGAAGCCATATTCCATCTTGGAGCTGCCAGTTTTTAGTACAGGTAAGTTATTTACTGATCCAAACAAAGCAGAGTAGAAATGAAATTGTAGTACTAATTTTATCTTCATGTGTAGCAGTGTTTTGAAAATGGAAATTTATACCCTCTTTGACCTTGTCATTTTTCCCATTAATCAGAAAATTACTTACTATGAATTCTTGTGATAAAATCCAAGTGATCAAGTGCAATGGATATACACCAACAAAAAAAGCACAAGTACCTAAAATCTCAGTAACTTTTAGAGGGAAAATAAATAAATCAAGATCTGCCTTTGACCTAAACTAGGAAAAGTATTTATTTAGCTTAGTGACAGTCTATGATTCCTTTATAAGTTGTACCTCCAAATGTTTGTCACAAACGACATCAAAGTTCAAAGCAGAATAAGTATCAACAGGTTACCTACATCTATCAAAGTTTGCTAATATGCTTAAGACCAAAAAACAACTTCTTGTTTTCATAAACTCAACTAAAACAACAGTTCCACTAAATAAAACAACTTAGAAATACGTTTCCATTTTATCTAGAGTTTTTTCTTTTATCCTATGTAAGTTCTAAGAAAATTTTGAGATTTTTTAACAATTAACAAAACTTTACTCTCAACCAGTTCAACCAACCATTTTTAGGTTTTCAACCCTATGCACTAACTTTAAAAAAATACATGAGATACTTCGTTTAAATGAAATGATTTTCACCAACATGAACGCTAGTATCAGCTTCTCATTTTCAACAGTGTGTAGAGGTATATGTACTATGAACTGCAGGCTGTCTTGCAAGAAGGAAAGGACTGCGTAATTGATCTTGTGGAAATGACTGAAGGTGACACCTGCATCACTTTCTTTAAGGGATCAAGCTAGGAAGACCTCTTGGTTGTACAAACTTTTAGCTTCATAACTGGTTTTACGCTGGGGAAAAGAACAGCCCTCTTTACTTAGCAATGACTTCTTGGGCAGGAGGAAAAGCAAACCAGAAAGCACCAGAAGGCAGTGGTGCTGACACAGGGCCAAAGCCGCCAGGAGAGAAAAGGGGCACACCTGGTTCACAGCATCCGTGATGATGGTGGTCAGTCTGACAGTATTTGTCCCTTAAAGGCATTTTCAGTGGGTGCGACCTACTTTCCTTTCACTGTAAGAAGCTCCTCATTGCCGTTCGGCTGTGGGAAGAAGCAAAAATGCGTCAGACACCCTGAACTTGCTGGGGGGCTCTGGCCGCAGTTTCCCGATACGCGCCCCTCGCGCGCCTCCGCCTTCGTCTCGGAGAGCCAGAGGCGCACGGAGGCGCCAGCAGCCCCAACGCCCCGCACAGGTTCACCGCGCTACCCGGAAACGCAGCCCGGCGCGCGCGGCGCACGGCGAAGGCCCGGCCGGCAGTGCGGACGGCGGCAGCGGCCTCGCAGTGCCGAGCGCGCGGAGAGCGTGACGCGGGGCTGGCGGGCACTGCCGGGGTCCGTGGCGGCGAGGTGAGGCTCCCGCCCGCGGCCGGCCCGCGCCGCGCCCTCCCGCCACGCACGTGCGTTGGGGGTCTCGCCGGCGCAACCAGGGTCCCCACCGCCGAGTGCGCACAACTTACTTAACTCCGGGGCAGGCGGGCGGGCGGAAGGAAGGAAGGCCGGCGACGCGGGCCCCACCTGGCGCAGCCGCCGCGGGCCGCGTGAAGGCAAGCGGGTCTGGGCCCGACGCGCTCCCCGAGTCCCCGCCGGCGCTGACGCGGAAGCTCCGCAGCTCACCGCGTTCCTCCGTGGGCCGAGGAGCGCCGGGCGGCGGCTCGCGGCGTCCCTCCGCGCTGTGGGGCCGGGCGGCGCGCGGACGCAGGCAGTTGACAGGAGGAACCGCCCGGCAGCAGCGGCCGCCGCCGCCGAAGAAGCCGGAACCGAAGCGCGCAGGAGCCGAGGCGCCCCTCGCCGGGCAACGGCTACCGCCACAGCCGGGCTCCCCTTAGCGCCGCTCCACCTGCAACGGTCCCTCAGGCTTTCGGAGAGGGGCGGGGAAGAACGGGACGCCCCCCGCCTCAGGCCTTTCGGGTAGTAGTCGTCGTTTCGGGAAACTTTATTAAGTCAGCCCCTCTCCTCCTCCGTCTCCCTCTCCCCGGAGAGCCCGGGCTACCGCCGCAGAGACGAGAGGAAGGGGGAAGCAGAGGCTCTCCGGCGGCGACAGGGAGAGACTGACTGACCCCGGACGGAGATGGGGCGAGGGCAGGAAGTGACAAGCTCACGGAGTGGGTGGGGGAGTGTGGCCGGCACGCCCGGCCGCGAGGCGCGCATGCGCCTGGCCGGCCCCCGTCGACGGGGTGGCGAGGGGGACCCGGGACCTGGCAGCCGGGCCGGCCGCTCGTACGCGTCCTCCCGCCTGCGCTCGGAGAGCCCGAGCCTGGGCTGCGCGCGCTGGGAGGTGCGACGTCCGCGGTGCGCATCCGCGCCGGAACGCGGGCTGCTCGGCGACCAAACTGTTGCTCTCCCTTTAGGCAGAACTGAGTCGGGGAGTCATGGAAAAGCGCCGGGGCAAGCCCTACGAAAGGGTTTGGCAGATAAGAGCGAGGCGTTGAGGGAGAAGGATACGGAAGGCTGTCAGCGCGTTTATCAATGGCACAAGTCGAACTTTTGTGTTTTCCAAGCCAACAGTTTCTGGAACAGTGCCTCCTTGAATTTGGGGGTGTGGGTTCTTCATCTGACGATTGCGAGGGAAAGTTTATTGGCAGTTTTGATTCCAACCGGCACTGTTATTGAACCCGAAAGTGAGTTAGGTCACAGGAGCTGTAAGCACTTTCCCTCCCCCGAAGCGCCAGCGTCCTGCTCGGAAAATCCCCTGAAGCGCGAAGCCGTCTGTCAAATGTGCAGACCCGGGCCGCTTTTCTCCAAGGGCAGCCGCCGCATTTTCTTCCAACTCTGAGTACTAAATTCTTGGCCTTGGTGACTTCAAGCAAATATGTGTCCACTGGGTCAGGAAATTTTGAAATGAAAGAAAACCCATTTGCCCTGTTTTTCTCCCTTTCCCCAGGAATACCGTACACCTTCGCAGTTCAAACCGCCAGTTCGCAGGCTCCTGAACAAGTATATTTTAGTGCGTCAGTTCGGTGTGTTTGGGAAGAGAAAAAAGTGACTTAGTCAATTTTCAAAATCCCAAAGAAAACTGGTAAATTGATAGAATTGTTACTGCAAAAATGTTAGGGAATATAGCTTAGTGGCACAACACTTGACTGGCAAGTTTGAGGCCATGAGTTCAATTCCTGGCACTGAAAGAAAACTAAGTTGAATGGAGCATTTGGGGGGATGGCAGCATCTTGATTATGGGGCCAATAAAAGGCTAGAAGGATCACACAGCACTGAGTGGCCATCCAAGATCATATTTACCATCAGCAAACATCAAAGTAAAATATGAAATGACAAAGATTGTAAAGCAATGTGCAATAAAATATTAACATTTCTATATAATGGTATGTATTATGCAACCAATAAAATCACATTTTGTAAAACAAAATTTTTTTCATGGTCTTGGGAATTGAACCCAGGACCTTAGCATAGAGCTACATTCCCAGACTATGTATATGTATAAAAATCGGTCTTGTTAAATCACTGAATTCCCTGAGCTAGGCCTAAACTTGAGATTTTCCTGCCTCAGCCTTCCAGAGTGCTAGGATCATGGGCATGTGCCAACACACCACTGCAGAGGTGAAACTATTATTAGAACACCTTCAGAATTGCTTGCTATGGTAAGTTTTAGGTGGCTTTAAATATTTGAAATTTAAGAGTGCATTTTGGTAAAACAAGCAATCAGGATTTAAATGATGAAAATAAATAGAAGTTATTTAGTGAACCTCATTTTATAATTTAGAATACAAACTATAGTAATAAATGCCCATGGTCAGTAACAAAACTGAGTTCAGGATCTAAAAAACTCATGACAATACTACTATCTGAAATGTATTGAGTAGTTACTGATTTAAATTCAAATATTAGTTCATTTTATCCTATCAACAATCCAGTGAGTTTTGTACTATCCATTCTGTGGGTAGAAAAACTGAGGCAGAGAGCACATCATTTATCAAGGTTGATAAATTGTTGAGTCAGCATCTGAACCCAAGCAGTCTGGCCCTGAAACTCATGAATTTAGCTATTATGTAATATTAATTTCACTGTACCATATTTGTTTTGGATCCCATTGTGTGTTAAAGATGAACCAGTGAAAGAATTCAGTCATAAAATCATGTATCATATGACATACAAACCAGGTATAGTGCCCACCTGTAAACCCGGCACTCTGAGAGGTTGAGGCAAAAGGATCATAAATTCAATGCTAACCTAATTAACTTAGTGACTTACTGAGACTCTGGCTCAAGAAACTTTAAAAAGAGCTGGGGACGAAATGGTGTGAAAGCCATGGGTTCAATCCCCAGCACTGCAAATAAAGATAAATAGGTGTATACAAGTACATGAAGTAGAACTAGAGTTGGTAAATCACAAGAATTTAACTGAAATTTCACAGAACTCTAACGGTTATTTGTGTTTTAAAAGACTAAACCCAGGGCCTTTGCACTGAGCTATATCTCCAGTCCTTTTTTTATTTTTAATTTTGAGACAGGGTCTCACTGAATAACCAAGTTACCCAGGCTGGGATTGAATTTGTAGTTGCCTTCTGCCAACCTCCCAGAGTGCTGGAATTACAGGCACATGCCACCGTGCCTGATACGGCTCTAGACTTTAAAGGAATTTTGGACATAATCTAGAATTATACCCTTACCTCTTAAAACTGCACCCAAACAACCCCAGAAAAAAACCTAGGTTAACACATTATTATAGCATTATTTTTAAGCCTAGAAGTATAACCTAATGATTAACCTCAAGTCTACTTTACAATTTAAAATTATTCTCATTTATCCTCAAGATGAGAGAACACTATCCCAACATACATATATACATATATAAATAATTGATACATAACAAAGCACCTGCAATTTGTGACTTAAAACCATTGTATCTGTGTTTGATTATATCAGTCATAATTTGGGCTCGGCTTGTTTGGTGTCACACAGCTGCTGGCGTCGTGTGGTAGCTTGACTGGGTACATTTATGACTGGCAGCTGGTTGACTGCTGACTTGACTGTCTCAGAGCCTTTCCTCCTCATAGCTCGGGCTCCCTATGTGGTGGCAGTGTGCCAAGCCAGTGAGGAACCTTCAAAGCCTCTTAAAGCCCCAAGCTCAGGAATTACACATCACATCTACCACATGCTATTAGTCAAAGCAGGTCAGAAGGCCAGCACAGATTCAGGGCCTGGGGAGATACATTCCCCATCTTGATGAGAGAAGCAGCCAAGTCACATGAAGAGGAACACATTATAGGAGTCAGAGGAACAATTGAAATGATATAATCCATTTGCATAGGACATAATCATTTCAAGAATGATAACAGCTTCAACTGATTTTTACATGGTTGGTGACATTTTTATGAACCACTAAACAAGGAAATACCGTCAGATCTATTCTCTAAATTGACATTAGATTGATTTCATGGTCATCTATAGACAAACTTTAGCGATTTCTAACCTCACTAGATACTTCTCTCGTTTTGTTGCTTTCAAGATCCATTCTTTCCTCTGCTCTAATCAAATCCCAGTAAAATACAGCATCAAAAGGCAACATCAGGTATACATCTTATATACATAGTTTGATAGGATCTGCATACTGTGATTCTCTCGGACTGGTTCTCACCGTCACACAGACCCTGAGACTGACTTCTGAGCAACCCTGTTCTTGCATTTTACAACATATAAGGAAACCCACGATAATGTAGGGATCCAATATGGGCCAAAATAGGGGCTGAGAGTTTAGAAAGAGCCATGGACAAATTGCTTTAGGGGAACAAATATTAAAGTGTCGATATGTTTTCAGTTGTATAGAAAAATAACAGCATAAGATGAAAACAGATAACTCTCTCCATAAAACATTTTATATAAATAAAAGCAAAATATAGTAGAAAACGGAGCTCTTTTACAAATGGAAAGGGGACTAAGAGATGGAGGGGCAAGCAAAGGGGAAGAGTGTTTAAAAAATTAAGATTTGTATGCATGTCAACATGTGTGACTATAATTATGTACCACAAGCATATACTAATAAAAATTTTTAAAAATACTTGTTTTAAAAGAGGACAAATAAGGAGATCTGCCATGGAGATCCGCTGCCTACTGGGAAACCCCTGGCATGATGTTTCAGTTTAGATCTACAGTTGTCCCTCAAAATTCTCATGTCTGTAGAAGGTGACTGGGTCACAGGGGCACTGCACTCATCAGTGGGTTCATCCCTTCATGAATTCAGTAGCTAAATGTGCTGTTAGGAGGTGGGGCCTGTTCACAGGTGGGTCATTGGGGCCATGACCTGGAAAGGCGTATTCTTGTACCTGGCTCCTCCTTTCTCTGCCATAATGACATAAGCAGCTTTCCCCCTGTTAGGCCCAGCACCATGCCATCTCTTTTTTTGAGCCAACCATGGACTGAAATCATGAGCCAGAGTACACCTCACCTATAAGTTATGAGTGTTATTTTGTTTGGCAGTGGGAAAGTGATGCGAACACATGACCTTGTACTAAAGGGACACCTGCTGGCCATGCACCATGTTACTTTGGAACACCAAACCATACCTTGTCATTCAAATGCATTTCATACAGCATCTTAGTAAATTCCATGAAAAAAAGATGCTTCTTGTTATAGTGGAGTTTTTTCCAG